GCGCTTCGATCACAAGAACTCAAGGTTTTTCGTGATGGGTCGCTGGCGGAACATACCGGGGAGGGCAGTTAGCTTTTTCAGATCGCTTGTCGGTCAACTGAAAAAAAAACGGTAGCAATCACGAACTTCATCATCATCATCATGGTCATACCACACGCCGAGAGGGAGCGGATTGGATTGACGCTGGACAGAGGAGGAGGTCATGTCCGATTCCCGTGACATCCCATTTGAGTTAATCCTACGAAACTGAGAGCATGCTTCTTGCCCGAAGCCATTAGGCATTGGCCTGGCTGTCCGCTCCTTTGAGTACGTCCTTGAGCCGGGAAGGCGCGCCATACAGCCCTCCGGGAATACATTCTCTTGGCTATCGTTTGATTATTACCGATAGAATAGAGCCCCGAAGAAGGGAACCCTTGAGCCGGGCTATCGTACCGAAAATGACCAGCCCCCTGCTTCCCCAGTCTTCCCAGAGCCCGGAAACTCTATGGAATCATGCGGCGGACCTTGTTGCGTAGTTTTGCGGGAGGGGGAACCATAAATGAAATCGATGGATCCTAGAGATACTGTCCGGAAATGCTTCCAATTTGACGAGTGAATCTGACAGTTGGATCGTGTTTCCCAAAAGTGAGTGAGAAACGATTTCGCGAGGTGGAGAGACAACCGTAATCCATATCGATCGATTCCCTTAATCAATGAAAGTCCGAATCGACTGATGAATGAAGAAGTAATGGGACCCGCACAAAGCAGATGTCGAGTGACATCTGACATCCAAGGCTCGTCATGTACACAGGTCTATGAACTATGAACGCAGTATGCCCAGTGCTCTGAGCGCTTACCTTAGGCTGGATAGGCGCGTCCGGGCATGCCTGACAGGGGGGACCCCATCTTCCAATCGTATTCGGATCCCGCTTTTGCATCGGCTGAGGGAACACGATCCCGGGGATTCGCCCACGAATGACCACTTGCGTTTTGTATGATCGCGGAAAGTGGAATCCGAGCTCGATCGAAGAAGGAATCATATTACGTAAATACCGGTAGGAGGAATGCGTGCACTTTCTGTAGCGAACGCAAACCTTTTTCTCCAGGCCAGAGCCCAGCAGCGATTCCGCTTGAAAATCCTTGCCGAGCAGACCGGCTCGGGCTCCCGCTTGTGGTGAATAATTTAAAGTAATGTGGATCCGAGGCAAGGGGAAACAAATGCCGACTTTTTTTTTCTTACTTATCCCCCCTCCTGGTCGAAATCCTCCCCGAGAGAAGAAATCCAATCATTCTATTCTCATGGACAAATATTCCGGATGCGCTCGCTTTTCCTTCCGGAGCGATTCTTGACCTTCAAGGTCGCTGGAAATGTCATACACGACGATACCCGAAGTTCTCTGTCGTTTATTTTTCTTCCGATCGCAGCTACAGGACCGGCGAAAGTGCGAATTTTCCGCATTGTTCTCGCTGTAACTCGAGCGAGAACCCTAACACCGATGTCTCTCCGGAGCTCTCCCAACGGCGTCATCCGAGACTCAAGGACGACTTGAACGTCTCCCAGGAAGACTCTTGGATGTCCGAGTAACTGCGGGGGCAAGTCGACCGGAAGGAAACTGCTTGTTTACGTCCAGAGCCAGCGGGTCCGGACCTGAGAAGTTTCGGGGTCAGTGGAAAAGTTGCAACACTGTAGCCTTTTCGAGAAACTGACGCTCCGACGCCTTTAAAGATATTCGTCTACGTTTTTTTTGGTGGTGAGGGAGGGAGAGCGCGAAAGAGAAAGCGTCCCGCGAACTCCCCCCGGCGCACAGAGAAAACTGCCCCGTTGTCGATTCTGCAGTGATGGAATTAGGTAAATCAAATCTTTTCCTCGATGGGTTCACCCACGCGCCCTAACGCCGCGCCGCTCAAATGACGAGGAAATTTAAGAAAAAGCGACGAGGAGGTGTATCTTCCGCTGGCTCCTCTGATAAACGAAGCAGCTCCTCGCATAAGAAATGCTTGAAAGCAGACAGGCGCCGCACCGGCAGCAGCGTAAAGAGGAGGAGGAGTGACTCCGAAACCAAAAAAGAAGCGTTGTTCTCCTGAATTGAAATCCTCGTCGCCAAGTACAAAGACAACGAACGCCACTCAAAAACACACGGACCGTGTTCTCTTATGCATGGTCCCCCTCTCTTTCATGTTAGTCGGCGCGGAAGCGTCCATCTTGGAAACGCTATTAAGAGATACTGGGAACCACACCGTGTCTGCTGGGCCCGCCGTCTTTTATTCCGGCTTGCCCATCCCGTCTATTCACTTTCTTCGCCCCGTCCCCCGATGGCTAATCAGGGCAAAGTGACAGATGCCGACGGCTCCCCATGCGTGGGCCGGGGTCGGGGACAGTCTTGTCTCCGATCCGTTTCATTGTACGAGTTGTGACACCTCATCGTCTACCGTCAACGGTTGATTCGGACGAGACGCTCGCTCCAACGTCCATTGCTTGCTCTTGACAGCTGCTTAGGTGAAACTCGGTCTCGAATCTTCGATCACGGATAGAACCCATGGCGGCGGATCAGCTGTTGCGCCGAGCAGACGAGCTGGAGAATCCACCGCTGTGACCTTATGCGTTGAATTGGTTTCAATCGCAGGAGATAGGCGGCTGTGATCATCTGGTGACGGTCCCGAGAGAGTCCGAAGAGGATTCGCACTCCTAATCTAAGTGCGATCAGGGCCTTCTGGAGTTCGTTCTCGCCCCTCGATTCGCTCGTTCGGATTTTCGAGCAGTTCCGCGGACGGATCTGATGACATGCCGCACCGTCGGCGTCGCCAATGCTTAGTCTGCGTTGGAATGCTCGAAGACTAGTCCAAGGGTGATGTAGAGCGGAGCGATGATGTCAAATAAATTATAGTCCCCTTCTCGGAAATGGAAGGGAAGAGTGGGGTCGTTTTCAAGCGGCTGGAGCATCTATGGTTCGCCTCCCAGTCAATCAGACAGTTCGCCTTCGGTCGTCGCTATCTATGGCATTTTCAACGAACTTGATGTGCGTTCCCCGATGATGCGATGCGCTCGTTTCGAGCTTGACCTCAGTCAATGACTCGAGCTGCCGAACTGCCGAGACCGAAGAGGCTTCCGAATCGCCGAGTGTTTTCTTCTTCGTCCGGTGCCGCATCTGAGATCGGCTTCACGCAATGGATCCCCAGTCGGTAGCGTTGATGAGCTTCCATCGAGAGGGACACCTATCGTTGTATTTCCGGAAGGAGCACAGGTTCATAATTTAGACGCATCGTGATCCAGTGTACGAAGGATTCCGAGAATTTGCTCCAGTTATTATCGATCCCAGAGCTTGAATGTGTCGCCTCAACGATTCAAAGGCTGGTTCTTTCTTCGCCCCGGAGAGTGGTCGGTCTTGTTGTCCGAAATTCGAAAGGAGGAAAAAGGCAATGATTCGCCCGGATATAGCCCGAAATGGTAGTACGTTTGAGCGGATAGAGTCAGGACCCCAGCGTATTCATGATGATACATATCGCGATCGCAATCGGTCGTGTGTCGTTTGCCACTATTTATTCATGGTGTCAACGGTCAGTCGGCTTTCTCTCGTGGCGTCGATGGTCCGCGATGGCTTGGGAAGTGTTCGATGGATTTCGAGCCTCGTCAGGCCTTTATGCCCCGTAAAAAGCGAAGTATTTCCACGTCATGATATTTTCGACGTCAAGTGAACAACGAGGAGGGGCGCTCGCATATCCGCTCGCACCAGCGGCAGCAAATTGATGGAAGCGACAGACCCGCCGACCCCCCAAGGCCACTGTGTGCCGATCAACAGCCTCGTCCGTCCGGACCGAGCACTCGAGGGACTTCATCCAAGCAGGCAAGCAAGGAGTCAACGATGCGACCAAAGACGACGAACCGGAGAGCCCCCGACGGAAGGGCAGACCAACTTGAATGTTTTGTGACCCGCGACCCTGTATGCTTATCCAATTCATCCAGCCGCTTGAACGAAGCATCCGCTTGAGCCGAATACCGAGGCTTACAAACAAAGACGGCTGGATTCTCTCGCACTGTACCCTTCGGCTTCGACTCCATTAATCTTTATACGACAAACGGAGGAACGAGCCAACGGAACGGTATACGCGCGACCGAACGACGATCGGGGAAACACAGAAGTACCACATCCAACTAATACGGGGCGGCAACGCTCCGCTGTTCGTTTGGCGGCCGACTCACCGGATAATGAGTTTACGGAGAGGAGACGGAGAATCGGTCGCAGGCGCAAAAATCGTCCGGGATCGCGGCCGAGCTTGAAATGCGAACGACCGGCCGCCAGAAAAACAAACTGTATCACATTATCGAATCCGGCTCGTAGAGAAAGAGGGGTGATGCGGGCAAAAAATCTCAGGCACAAAGAGAGAGGGGCGAGTAAACGATGCTAACGGCTCTACGACGACGTAGCCGGAGCGATTCAATGGCCTTTCCAAAAATGTTCCCTAAATGGCTGTAGAAGGCCGCTGTAGATGGAATCCGCCTGGCCCATTTATTGACTCCGGCTTCGCCTCCTCGTTCAGAGATAGAGAGGGATAGACGGGATCACGGCGCTAAATTCCACTCTCTCCCGGAAGCGACAATGGAGAGCGGAACGAATTGGAGGCGGAAGCGCGGAGACCTTCCAAGGGAATGGAATTGTAAACGCCATTCTTCTCTGCGAAAGGCCCTAGGGTCCCGTGCTGGAAGGAAGCTCCAGGATTCGGTGCCAGAGCTCCGCCTGATACTTCGGTCGTAGGATCGCCTGCCATGATCGAGGCGAACTCTGAGAGATTCCGTCCTGCCTTCTATGTCCAATTCTAAGATTCTAATACGGAATAATTGTATTTCGAGCTTTGAAAGAAGCCCTCGCTGTCGGCATTCTGCTTCGGACTTCTCATAGGATCGTGCACAAGGTTACCCGCAGTACCTACCTCGATAGGGGACCGAATGGGCTGTGTGGAGTTTTCCAACTCTGCTACGAAGCTGTCCTGTTCCCTCTAAAAAGTTCACTTTTCCGCTCTTTCAGGCGCTCTTTTAGATGAAGACGACGCTGCTTCATCAACGGTGATTGATAACGTTCTGCAAAGGATAAACGGCGACCACAAAATCCTCCCGCGGTTTCGATTGCAGGTCGTCAAAGTGCGAGTGGCCAATTCTTTCGTGGCGGCTAAAACAGGTCAGTTGCTTGTCCAGTTACTTGTTGTAGCCCCTCTATCCAGTCACCGGGGACTTCAGTCGTGCGTGTCGTTCCATCCGCTCGAGCATCTCCTTCCGAAAATATCATCTCCCATAAATTCACGCATCTCCCGTTGCGCTGTTGACACGCACACGTGGGCTCCGGGGCGACGGTAGCCAGGTGAATAATTGCCGAATAATCTCTGAATCCTCGGGCTCTACGACTTCAAAATCCCTGACATAATTAAATCATAAGCGCCACTCCTCGATTTCGCCCGGTATGGCCCAAACAGGCGCGGAAATAAGGCCAGGCATAACGAGCGCGGCCGCTCGACTCCGATGATCTGGCAGAGTTCGTATACGTATCAGTTGAAACACACCGTCGGCAAGGAAGCCAGTCTCTCGGTCGTAGACGGTATGCGCGAACGCGTCGCGCGAAATTTACGAGTACTGTGTTTCTTGTTCCTCTGGACTCGGATAGCCATCATTCGCCAAGGCGTTCATCCTCTCACGCTCATATGGAAGGAGCCCCCAGGGCATTGCGACTGGGCAGGCGGGCTCGAGCGCTCTGAATATGGCAGCCATGCGGACTGCTCGCCTTGCTTCCTTCTTCTTGTAAACTTCCCATCTGGCGTTGCCCTGCAGGAATCGGGTAGCATTCTTCCTCGATGCCACAGCTCGACCGACTCGGGGCCGAACGCTCCGCGTTCTTACTTTTATATTTCTGACTAGCGCTCCCGGTCGCCGCTTCGCGGCGACTCGGTATCGCTAGACTCACTACACATGCGCTAGCTCCGAGTGCGCTGGCTCCAAGTGCGCTGGCTCCAAGTGCGCCGGCTCCGAGTGCGCTGGCTTCGGGTGCGCTTGCTTTGGTCGCGCGTGCTCTTGGTGAGCGTCCCGTTTCCCTGCTTTCCCGTTTCCCTGCTTTCCCGTTTCCCCGCTTTCCTGGTTCCCCACTTCCCCTTTTCCCAATTTCCCTTTTCCCACTTTCCCGTTTTCCCACTTTCCCGTTTTCCCACTTTCCCGTTTTCCCACTTTCCCGTTTTCCCACTTTCCCGTTTTCCCACTTTCCCACTTTCCCGTTTTCCCACTTTCCCGTTTTCCCACTTCCCGTTTTCCCACTTTCCCGTTTTCCCACTTTCCCGTTTTCCCACTTTCCCGTTTTCCCACTTTCCCGTTTTCCCACTTCCCCGTTTTCCCACTTTCCCGTTTTCCCACTTTCCCGTTTCCCCGCCTCCCCGTGCCCCTGCTTTTATTATATAGATATGTCCTCCGGAAAATCGATACCCTTCACGGCTACAGCGATTTTCAGCGAGATTCATTAGTAAAAAGACAGAGGCCATTGATGACGGCAACCCCCGATAGTCTTCTTGGGAGCTCCCGAGTATCCACCTTCTCATGGCGATCGGTCCAGCCGATAAGAAATCCTGAGAATTCCCGTCTTTCCCTTGATAAAATCTTTGATTCTCGACAAGAGGACCACTCAAATAATTTTTTTATGGTAGAAGGACTCATCGCATCGGGGAACTGACCCCCCTATAATCACCGCTGGATCCCCCAGAACACGCTCCTAAATTTTACGACGATCGGTTCAGCTGTTTTTCGAGTCTATAGGGGACATACAGACAGATTATAGATTA